GAAGATGGGAAGGAGAGAGCTTCTTTATGGTTCCAGCCTCAGCACTCATACTTGAGGACCCTGCCTGTACCCTAGGACTCCCTGTCCGGTGATCATTCAGGACTGTGGTTTGAATATCCCCCTAAACATAGTTGGAATTTAATCATCACTGTAACAGAAGTAGGAGGTAACTAGGTCCTGAGAGCTCCGTCTCCACCGCTGTTCTACCGACAGCTTGGGAGTGGGGTATTATGGAAGAGTGGGCTCCTTCTGAGGATGAATTCAGCCCATGACCTGCATGGGCTCAGTCACTCTTCTGTCGTATGAGAATATCTCCCTCAGTACTGACTCTCCAAAAAGAAGTCAGCACCCAGCCTGCTGCAGGCTCCTGAGCTCCCCAGAGCTCTGACCCTTCCTGTGCTGACAGAGCCGGACTCACTGGCAGTAGTCTTGGTGCAAGAAAGCTTCAGAGTGTTTGGCCTCAAGAATCCACAATTTGAGAGGAGAAACAGACTCATAAACAGACCTGTAATTAAGAAAAACCAAGACCCAAAATGTTAAAAACTACTACAGGAAAGAATAGGGAGAATACTGGAATATATAAACTTCCTAAATAGAAAACCAATAACTCAGCAAATAAGAGCAAGAACTAAAATGCTGGCATCCACTAAAATGCTCCTGCCTAGAAAAGGAAAACAGTCATTAGTTTGAAGAGACAGCCCACAAAATGAGATAAATTCTTATCTCTTGTATACAGGCAAGGGTTTAAGAACCAGAATATACAGGGAACTCAAAAAACTCAATTCTCAAAGAATTAACCACCCAATTAATACATAGGCAAATGAACTGAACAGACAATTCTCAGAAGAAATAGTACAAATGGCCAGTAGATGCATGAAGAAATATTCAACATTCCTAGCCATAAAGGAAATGCAAATCCAAACAGCATTAAGGCAGGGTGCTGGTGGCTCACGCCTGTAATCCGAGGATTGCGGTTCAAAGCCAGCACAGGCAGGAAAGCCCGTGTGACTCTTATCTTCAATTAAGTACCAGAAACCAGAAGTGGTGATGTGGCTCAAGTGCTAGAGTGCTTGCCTTGAGCTGAAGAGCTGAGGGACAGCACCCAAGCCCAGAGTTCAAGCCCCATGACCAACATAAAAAAAAAAGCAACCAAACAACAACAACAACAACAACAAAACCAGCATTGAGATTTCATATCAGTCTAGTCAAAATGGCTGTCATTAAGAACAAATTCTAGTAAGATCATGGTGGGCGGGGTGCCCACAAATTACTGTTTGTAGGAATGAAAACTAATGCAACTACTATGGAAAGTAAAATGGAGGAGTCTCAAAAAAACAAACCTAAAAATAGAATTGTTACATGATCCAGTTATACCACTCTTTGGGCATATATCCAAGGGAATGTAAGTCAGAATACAATTGAGACACTGGTAGAAAGTGAGGGAAGGGAAGACACTGTTTAAAAGGAAATGTACCATTACCTGATTTATGCAATTGGAATCCCTCTATATATCACCTTTATAGTAACAATAAAGTAACTAATATTTTTTTAAATAGAGACACTTGTTATGCCCATGTTCATTGTAACACTATTCACACTAGTCATGTTAGGGAAACAGCTCAGATGGCCTACTACTGACAAATGGATCACAATTGAGTACTATTCAGCTATAAAAAATAATGAAATTATATATATTTTTTTGTGAAATGGATGGAACTAAAGATCATCATGGTGCGGGAAGTAAGCCTGTTTAGAAAGACAAAGCTTCACATTGTCTCTCACATGTAGATGCTAGATAGACTTAAAAGATGAACATATACATAAATACATACACAATCACATACATGTGTGTATGTATGTTTACACTCATATACATAGATGTTTGAAGCATCATAGTGAAATCATCTTTGAACAATTAATTATACTTTTAAAATGGGATGACAGCAATATAAAATAAGTCTTGAGTGTGCTCTTAGTGGGAGTGGGGAAGGTTAGTGGTGAGGGTGAAATATGGTCAACATACTTAACAGTTGTGTATAAAAATAGAGCAGTGAAACCTGTTGAAATTGTTTTAGGGAACAAGGGAGGTGAGCTGGAGGCGTGGCTTAGGTTATAGAGCACCAGCCAATGAGTGAAAGCAAGCATCACATACCAAGTCTGAGTCCCATCACATACCAAGTCTGAGTCCTGATCTCTACCCAAAAGAAAAAAAAAAGGGAACAGAGGAGGGAGTTGAGGTAGAGTGGTGAAGTCTGATCAAGATGTAAATATATATAGAAATCACAATGAAAACTCTGTACAACTATATATACAAATAAAATGGTTGGGTCTTTTGTTTTAGAGAGCAAAACAAAACTGCAATTAGCCTTGGAGCTTTCACAGGTAGGAACCAAGTCCTGGGAAGAGAACAGGTCAAACGACAGGTACACTTGGGATTTGTGTAGCTCAGTTTTTGCTACTATAACAGAATACCTGAGGCGTGCTGACTTTATAAAGAGAAGTAGTTTGTTTTGCTCAGACTTGGAGGCTCAAGGGCATGATACCAGCATTGACTCTGTTCTGGTGCTGACCTTCTTGTAAGCAGAGTCTCAAGATAGCACATGGAACCACATAGCAAGAGACAGGAAGAGCATGTCTGCTTTCTCTTTATGTGAAGACACTAGAGCTCGATCACAGGGCTCCATTCTGATGACCTTATCTAAGCCCAGCCCTTCTCCCCAGCCCAGCCTCTAAACACCATAGTCAGAGTGAATTTCCACTCTCTTAGTATCATTGGTATAAGATGTCGAGGGTTAAAGGAACAAATCATATTCAGTCCACAGCAGTTCCCCAGGAGGCCTCATTGCAGACCAGCACTGGCACTTTGTTTTCCAACAACCCTGACAGCTCATAGTGAACAGAAGTTTGTCACTTTGCGGAGACATGAATTTGAACTTCACACTGCTAAAGTCAATGTCTGGGAGCTGTTCACTTGGTGAATGAGCCAGGATGGTCACCTGCCTGTCCACCGCCTCTCTGAAGGCATTGCTGCCTGCTACTTGTCTTCTTATAAAGTGCTTTATGAAGTGTGTGTATGTAAGAGAGAGAGGAGACAGAGAGAGAGAGAGAGAGAGAGAGAGAGAGAGAGAGAGAGAGGCCTCCATGGGCTGCAGATGTGGCTTAGTGGTAGAGTGCATGCATGATTCTTTGGTATTACATAAACAGAAAAAGCTGGAAGTGGTACTGTGGCTCAAGTGGCTCAAGTGGTAGAGTGCTAGTCTTGAGCAAAAGAAGCTCAGGGACTGTGCCCAGTACCTGAGTTCAGGCCCCAGGACTGGGAGAGAGAGAGACAGAGACAGAGACAGAGAGAGAGAGAGAGAGAGAGAGGAGGACTGGGAAAGAGAGAGAGGTAGAGAGGAGGGGGGAAGGAAGGAAGGAAGGAAGGAAGGAAGGAAGGAAATGCCTCCTTAATGGCATTTGAGTGATGGAAGGAAAAGGAAGTGGAGAAGCTTATGACACTACTGTTTCTTAGTAAACAGATGAAAACCTGGGCCTACCCAGCTCTACTGTAGCTCTGCCAGACAAACACCTCCGTTGAACATGCACGATGGAAGTAAAACACACCTGCGTCACATTTTAATGTGGAGTGTCTGTAACATCTCAGTGTATGTTGTAACCAGCAGCAGACCTGTTCATTGAGAAAGAAAAGTTGGAGAAGTTTAAAAAAAAAAGTCAGCAGAAAGTCGAGAGGCTACACAAACATTTCCAGGAAGAAACAGATGGCCAAGGCACCAGCGCGGCTGCTTGGTCAACCATATTTTCAAGTAAGGGCTCGTTTGAACATTTTAAGATGTGTTTTTCTTGGCAAAAGGTGCAGTTAATAGGAATAAGCCAGCCAGCTGCCTGTCTCATGACAGACAGGATTCCTTCTGAGCTGGAAACTCAGGGAAGGACGAGCCCAGGCTTGGAGTGTGGTGGAGCCAGGGAGCGCTCCTCTTCCAGAGAATGAAAGAGACCATCAGAGAAAGAGAAGAGAAGCTGAGCGAAGAAGGCCTCCAAGAACTGCTCGAAAAGGAGCAAAGGAGTTGAAAACAATGGGGAAGAAACAGAAACAGCTGCTGTGCTTCAGTCCCTGTGGGAAACCTCCACCATTCATTCCCCTTGTGTTCTTCACAGTTGTCTTTTAAAAGACATGACACAGGTGGTGTTTTTTTTTCTAATTGTTTTGCTGATTCTCATGGGGATTTTGTGGCAGATCAGTAAAGTGAAGCCAGGAGAAAATTTGTAAAAAAGCAAAACCAAACCAGCAAAACTTGAGGAAGTGAGGCAGGTAGGTCAGCTGCAAAGGTTCCAGATCTCACATTTCTTCACTGAAGGCTCTGGAGTGCCAGATCCAGACCTCTCTTCAGTGAAAGATGGTGAGTGAGGATGGGAAGCTCATCAAACATCTTCCTTCCTCTGGTCATCTCCTTGCTGCCTCCTTCCTGGCTGAGAGGCCTGAAGAGGAATCTGAGCAGCATATCAAGTCCCCGGGAGAGGGAAGGTAGCTAACTTTGTTGAAGACTTCCAACTGGACTGATGCTCATCCCCTCAGCCTGTGTCTCAGGTTCACCCTCAGCAATACAGCTGGCATTCCTCACAGAAGCTGTATTGAACGAAAGAATCCAGAATTCTGGAATAAAGCAATAGCTTGTCTTATACAGATGTCCTACATGTGGACAAAGTCAAACCACTAGTTCACATCTACTGTTTGCGCAAGCCATTTAGAGTCACCTCTGGAATTTGGGTCCCAGGACTGTTATTCCTAACAGAATTCTTCAGGATTTCTGGCTCCAAAGACAGGGGACTTAACGTGGTGTTTTCTTTCTCCTTTAACTTCTGATATGAGCAACTAATTAGTATGGAAGAAAGGATACAAAGTGTGGGAGATCTGGAGCAATGTGATCTAAACGCGTGAGAAATGATTGGAGGTCACCGGAATCCTGCTGCTCTGATGGCCTTTGTTGAAATTCTTTCCACAGGTTGTCACAGCTGCGTTGTCTGTATTATTGTTTGATGTTGTCCTGACCAGTGCAACTGTGGGATGGTAAGTCTTGGGCAGAGAGAAGAGGAAGTGCAGATTCATTGTTTGAACTTCTTTGGCCTATTTGTTTTCTCACAGGTGTTGAAAAAAGAATGTGTATTCAGTGTAAGTGGACATCTGAATTGAGGATCCATATTAGTGATTGCTTATTTTTTAAAGTGATTCTCATTGATGTGTAAATTTATATTCAGAAGAGTATGATGTCACTTGTATACAAGTCTTACCAACAATATAAAGCCCGATATGGATTCAATAGCACATTCTAACTAGCAACTAGTTCAGAGCATCACCAGAACACCTTTCAGTGACTTACCCACTCAAGAGTAGCCACAGTGTGAACCATCATTGGTTCATCCTCCTGTGCCTAAATGGGATTGGTTGTTCCAAGGCTTCCTGCAAAAACCATACTCCATAGATGTTCAAGTTTCTTATGTACAGTGGTACATGTTTGCGTGTAAACTATACACATCTTCCTGTGTGCTTAATTTTACATCCTGATTCTAGAAAAATTATTTTCCCCACGTTTGAGTTCACAGTGATCCTGAATGGGTCTTTCCTCCTTTAAAAAAATATTTGTTTGCAAATTAGACCTGATGAATTGTCCCTTGTCACCTGCTTCACTCCAAATCATACTGCTCATGTGTGTGGCAGGCACTGGTGCCTAAGTATGCTTATGGAAGCTACCCATCTCCAGGCCTCCCAGTGGATAATGCCCTTGGTGCTCTCGTAGCCATGGCAACAACACTGTTAGGTTTAAACATCAGTAAGAGGTTCCTGTGGGATAAACACCCGGGGCAGGACTGGTGACTATGGATTACTGAGTTGGGGAGCCTGTGGGAGTGAATATCATCTTGTGTGGCCTTGGGATAGAATGGGGTCATTCAATAGAGAGATATTTACCACATGCCTGATAGGTGCCAGGAACTGTTCTTAGATGAAAGTCAAAATTTCTGCCTCTGTGGTATCCATAGATGCTCATTTCTCTGCTGGAGGGCAAGCTCATACTTAAATCATCCGAGACTGACTGAAATAAATATTTTTGACCACAGCACTCAGCAAAAGGGATTCCTAACCTCTTTCAGGATCCATTCATGGTGGTATTTCTTGCCCCAAGAAGAAAAATGAAAGGAAAAGGAAAATTAGGAAATATTTTGATACCTTCTTCCCCCTCCTCTTATCTCCTGTTCTTCCTTCTAATAATAATAGTAATAATAATAATTCTAATTATTGAACAGACATTATTGCTTCAGACATTTTTACATTAATTTATTTAAACAATTATAAATTGTAATCTCTTTTGTAGCAACCCTCCAGCAATTTTAAAAAGCTAAGGTTCAGAGGCATATAAGTGACTTCCAATGAGGTGACTGAACCAGGATTCAAACTCAGTCTTCCTCTGTATTAAAAGCCTCATAACTTTCTAGACACAATATGAGAAATACTAAGGATTTTCTGGCAGTAGACAGCATATGATGAGGCTAGAAGCACGTAAAAGAAGCACAAGAAAAATTGGCTTGTCTTCACATTGGAGTGACAGTGTCACTCAGCTTTGCATTACCCTAACAGATGTTGGAGAAAATAAACTAATGAGAAAAAAAATGTTTATAGGCTTGTGGTTTTCAGTCCATGGTCACCTAGTCCATTGCCTTTGAGCCTGTAGGGAAGCAGATTATCATGGCAAGGAGCTTATGGTGGAGCAAGATATTTACCTTATGGTGGTATGGAAGTATAAAGATCAAGAATACCCTTCAAGGACATGCCCCAATGACCTAACTTCCTCCCACAAGACCCCGCCTTTTAAAGGTTCAGCTACCTCCCATTCATGCCATGAACTAGTGTTCAAACCTGTAAGACCTTTAAGAGACAGTTATACAAACCACTGCAGTGAAAATCTATAAAAAAGCATTTAGATGATTTGGCAGCAAATTGAAAAAGAGTTCCCCAGGACAAGACAGTTCTAATCCCTGTTTAGGAGCTGACCTGGCCAACTAAGAATATCTAGTGGAACAATTTTCGGATGAAATTTCATCCACAGATTTTTAATACTGTAGCTGTGATTCTTGACAGGTATTGAGTGACTGTTGCATGCAGCACATATGGAAGTCATTAAATAAGCAGAAGTTACCATCCAACTGTCAAGAGGTTTCCAGGGGAAAAGAAAATCAGAAACATATTGGGCTAGATGGATAGGATAGCAGTTGTTAGAATGCCCAGTGAATGTGAAGACTGAAGGTGAAAGATACTGGTTGCGAGTGCTTGGTAGATGGGTCTTGAAGCTGGCTTGAAACTGGACCAGATAGAGGGACTTAGGTAGTCTCTCTTACCCAGGAAACATGGCAGAAAAGAGAATCAATGGACTGTGAGCCAGGCAGTGAATCCCAAGCTTCTTCCTTCTATCATGAGAAATAATGGCACAAATGATGGAAAAAGGATGTCTCAAAACTCAACTGCCAAGAAACATTTTCTTCTGGTACATTCTTGGTACTCCTCCAAACTTTTCTATATGTAACATTCATGGTAAAGTCTAAATTCTTTATACTATTTTCTCACATATGTGCTTTCATTAACTGTATCTTTGTAAATGTGTATGTCAGTATTGGGGGTTGGACTCAGGGCCTGAGCACTGTCTCTCAGCCACACCTCCATTTTCAGCATTTTGCTGGTTCATTGGAGAAAAGAATTGCTCTCAGATTATCTGCCTGGGCTGGCTTCAAACCTTGATTCTCAGCTCTGCCTCCTGAGTAGCTAGGATCATAGGCATGAGTCACTAGTACCTGGCAATCATCAATCATATTTTGTACATGATTTCAAAATACATGAAAGAAACCTAGGTATTGAGCTGAGCATGAGAAAAGTAAAAGTGTGACAGCTTTCTGGTGCTAAGTCAGAGTGCTGACTGTAAGAGGCTGAGTCTCCAGGCTGCTTAATATCCTTTTGACCTAAGGGTATGCCTCAAACTAAAAGGAAAGGAAGGCTGTGTGTACCCAAATCAAGGAAGCATGTGTGATTATTGCAGAAGGAACCCTGACTTTGGAATTTCCTGGTTTTTTTCAGAACTTTTGAGGTTAAGGATGGTATGTTTTCAGCTTCAAAGAATTTTCCAACCACAAAGTGAACCACCAGAAGGGATGTGTCAGACCATAATTCTAATTTCTGTCTTGCACAGAGCTGGTTTCTTGGCTTCTAGACTGGGCACAGTTCAAGTGTGGCTAGGTGACCAGTTCTCAGGTCCTGGATGGGGTGGCTTGTCTTTGTCTCATGGGAGTTGATACTGACCAGAAGTCAGGGCAGAGACTGCAGGCCTAATTTTTCTTTTGGGTGTTTTTTGTTGGTGGGATGTTTTTGTTTTTATTTATTTGTTTTTTTAAGGGCTGCTGGGTTTTCCTGAACAAATTACTATTGTGTTTTGCATTTCAAAGTTTACTTGAGTTCCCCGCATGTAGAAAAAGAGGGACTTCCTATTATAAGTCCACATTATCAGATTCCTTGCAAATGTGGACTAGCTGATGCAGAGCCTGCATTTGCACATGGCTGCAGCTGCTGGAATGGACAGAAGCTGCCCTCTGAGGTGGTACTTTCTGATTAAGCACAGTCTCTACTTCTCCTGGGCCACTACTGGGCAGGCTCCAACCAGTGGACTGACTCCCACTGATGATGTATATTTATTGATTCCATGGAAATGCTGGGCTAGGCACTAAAGCCACAGGGCCTTGCGTCCATGAGGCTTGCAAGTACATGTCTTTGCCATCATCTTACTTGGGCCTCACAGAGTAGGTTATATCTGAAGTCGGGCTTCTCACATTATTACCTATCTGGGTCAGATAATTCTTTGCCTCGTTAGGATGTCAGGTAGCCAACTTGAACACATTAGATGCTAGTTGTCCTAGAAAATGTCTCTAAGATACAGCAAGGAGTCCCTTGGAAGGCAAAAATCACTGATCTTGAAGTTCAGAGCAGTGAATGGGGGAAATGGCATTTGAACTTTCAGCAAGATCCTTAAGAATTTATCTCCTGATCCAAGTTTTGGATCTGTTCAGGAATCCAGTTCTCCTCAAGGCCCCTCCTAGACACTCTGCCTTAGCTCTGAAATGCTGGTAGCAATGAGTGACAGCTGTGTGGGTGGGCTCTTCTGCTCCCAGCTGCGCTGCTCAAGCCTAAGGACCAGGTTCACTCAGCTTTCCATCCTTAGTCTAGTACCATATACTCACTGAATGTACAGTGCATGGCTGGCCTCCAAGTATTCTATTCGAGAACGTTATCTACAAGAGGATCCAATGTTGGACGTTTCAAACTCATTTGAATTAAAAGCATCTGAAATTGAATTTTTAATTAAAAGCCACTGTTGTTTATTTTTATTTTATTTTATTTGTGAAGATACTGTACAGAGGGGTTACAATTACATGGGCAGGATAATGCGTACATTTCTTACCAAGCATTGCAGCCTCCTCCTTTTGTTTACCCTTCACATC